TTTATCTTAATCCCCCTCTCCACCTCCCCCCTCCACCCTTAATGTGCTCGAGTCTCTGTTCTGTAATCTGAATTTATCGGAAACTCGCATTGCGCCCCGATCTGTTCGCGACGAAACAGAGTGTGGTGTGTGTGCCCCCCACCTTTCCTCCCAGAAATATATATATATATATGTATATATATATATATATGTATACGTACTATACATACACGTGAGAGTGAGTGAGAGCGCGCGTGTCTCCTCGTTAGAGACGAGTTAGAGAGAGAGGGGCGACAGCCGCAGGGGCGCAGCGACTGTCAACATATCATGTCATGTCGAGAGTGAACGATCGCCATCACCTTTTAGTCATTCGTGTCCAAAATTTCACGCGAGCTTGCCGATGCCACATTGGCAGATGGCTTGCAGACTGTGTCCTTTTCGCAATAAACGAATCATTATAAAAAAGAAAAAAGAAAAAAAAAAAAAAAACAGGTCTACGAGGTCTTCATTCATTTTTCTTCTCTCTTTCTCTTTCTCTTCCTAGATGCCTCATCTCTCCCCTCTCGCCCCTCGATCGATCATCCTGTCCCCTCACAATTGCCGCCTCACACAATCTGTGCGAGAAGATTACACCGCGGAGGATAATTTTTTTTTCTTGGGTAAGATCGATTTTATATCGGATATCTTCTCTTCTTTTTTTTGCCCACAATGATATATCTTGGATTTTTACGCTTCACAGGTACGTTATCCGCAAGAAAATTTGGAAATTTGGAAAAATTTCATTTTTTTTTTTTTTTTTATTATTCTCCATTTTTATTTTACATTTAGGTACTTGAAAATCTTACTAGACACACATAGTGTCAAATTAATCGGAAACCATCAACGAAATAATCAAGACTTCCTCATATATATATGTATAAAACCATTTTTCGACGAATCTACAACCAGGTAAAGAACTTGCAAGAACGCAACATATCAACTCCATACGTCTAACTCGCAACCTAACCTCAAACGTCCAATTTTCGATGGAAGGCAGCGATGTCTCGACGAGGAGAGGATCTCTCTGGACGGCGTCCGCATAACTCTGCGGGGTCTGGCACGGAGGCAGGACCCCGCACAACAACCCTTTGAAGGTTTATGCCGATTCAGGAACGAGTTGATTCATGAAGACGGGATGGACCTCCTTGGGATCCGCGGCTCGGTGCCCCCAAGGCCGTGGCGGGTGGTCCCGCGGCTTGATTTCTTGTTTCCTCCACCAGAGCGTCTCTCCTCTCCTTTCTTTCTCCTCTCTCTCTCTCTCTCT